CAAAATGTAAACAGCTGGAAATAATAAAGAAACTGTAAGGTAATTTAGACCACTTTACTTTCTTATTACTGTCAAATCTTTTAGTGATTCGAACAAATTGTAAAAATTTATTATTATAAACATGTCATCTGGAGGCACATTAAAAAATACATTTAGCACCATTCTTAATTTTCATATATAATATTTGAAAAAATTGAATCAAGCAAATCATACATTGAATTCCATCTTGTTTTAACATCTTTAGTAAAATTTTAAAAAATAATATTTTTTACTGTATAATATATTATTATATATAATATTATTTGTAATTATTTACTGAGTCAATTTGTAATTATTTGTTTATTATTGTTTGTAATTGTTGTAATTATTTGTAATTATTGGTTTATTATGTATATTATTTGTCCGTTTTTATTTTTCTGTAAAACCATTTGTTTTTTAATATTTATTCCAGATTTTTTTTTTTATTGTGAAAATAATCTTTTGAAAATCTAATACAAAATTATAAAATATGTCAAAATTTAAAGATATGTTATTTTTAAAAATATTTACTTTTATGCTATTACATTCATAAACCAACTAATGGTTTGCACTTTGTAATAAAGGTACTAAGTTTATCTTCAAATAAATTAATTTGTTCATATTGGTTTCTGTTATTTCAATTGTTCTTAATTTGTGATTGTTATTAAATTTTTTTATATTTATGATATTGCTTCTATAACATAATATTTATTTATAATAATAATAAATACTAACTGATTGGACCTGTAAAAACATGTGTCTTTGTAAGTCTTTTCCAAACCGAACTTTCTAAACTTTTTTCTTATCGTAGCTTTCCGGATCGGAAAAATACTATTCCTTATTTATTTCAATATTTTTTAGTAAAATAATTTAATCTGAAAAAAAAATTTTAAAAGCAAAAAACTTAATATGCCCACCTTTTCCACATGCCTAGAGCTTATAAGCTTATAAGATTTATAATTAGGTTTGTTTTTCTGCTAAATGCATTTTATTGATAGCTCAGTGGTTTAGTGCGCTGTCATCAGTATTGTTTTGGGGGTTTAAGACCTCCCCTTAGCATAACAAATTTTGAAATTTTTTAATCTTATATATTTATAGCAAAAAAATAATATAGTAAAAAAGATTTCTAAAATTTAAAGTGAAGTTTTAAAGTTTTCTTATCTTATAGATATATTATACAGGATTATTCCATATAATGCATGCTAACTCATCATATGCTAAAGACATAAACACTTACAGATGTTTGTACATAATGCTATACAAATGTAACTATGAATATCTTAGACCATTAAAACATAGTCATAAAAAAAAAAGTTTATTCTTATAATTTTGAATAAAAACTAAAGTCTAATGACTCAGCCATTAAACCCTAATCTAAAAGTCAAGACTGAAAAATTTTGCGCTTTGACATCAGTTTGTGGCAAAATAAACTTTTATGCGTCAAGTTTCCTTTTGCATTTATCTAACATTTTTTGATAAATTTTAATTATGTTGCATACAATTGCACAAAAAGATATAAAACTGGTTCAGATATATAATTTCATGAATAAGAGTTTGTATTTATTACAAAAGTAATAAATAAATAGTTTTTGTCTTTATTTGAATATATTCCATAAAAATATATTTCATATAATTTTAATAGAAGAAATATTCCTAAAAAAATTAAATAAAATCTTGTTTTAGTTTGTTTTTCTAGTTTTTTGCCACAAATTGACGTCACATATGCAAAAAAATCGTGGTTTCAACGATTTACAAAAAAGCTTCATCTATCATTTTTAACGGTCTAAGAAGCAGTTGACATTAGCAATCAGAAATTATCCAGAGAGGGACAAATCTAAAATTGAAGTTTCAAATTTTCTACTTGGATCAGACAATATGTTTTGAGTTTTTTCAATCTTGTCAATTTTTTAAAATATAATAACATACATACAAAAAATCAAAACAAAACAGCCTGAGCAAAAAACTTGTAACACTTGTAATTATTAGAAGTTTACTTATATTACATATGATCCTGAAAAAAATGTTATATAAGTGGATTTTTTACATTTTATAAACAATATACATAAACAAATAACACAAGGTTTGAATTATGCAATCGCGAAACGCAATATCTGTAAAAAAATCTGTTCTTCAAAGTCTTAGTTTATGACCATAAACTTTGTATTTATGTGCAAATTAACAAAGCGAAAAAGTTATATAAAACAAAAAGAAAACAATAAACTTATGACTACCATAGTAATAACACTATAATCACTGTGTTATAAAAATATTAACACTATAATAGTGTTATTACTTTTTTAACTTATATCTTACATTCAAATTTATTGTTTGTTTATACTACACTTAATCAAGATATCATAAATAAAAGTGATTTAAATAAGGAATCTCAAGTTTTAATTGAGGTAGAAATCCATCTAAAAAAAAATAGAATGCATATTTTAGTGATTTTAAAACTTCAGAAACTTTTTGTATACATACTTTTATAAACAGTTAAGCTTTTCTAAACTATTACTAATGGTCCAGTTAATTTTAAAATCAACCAATAAAAAGTTTTTATTAGTTGATTTTAAAATTAATACGCATTTTTACAGACTATTAGTAATGTTTTTCATAATGCTAAACCATTTATACAGTATGTTTTTATAAAGTTGTTTAAGTTCCTTAATAAGTTTTAAACATTATTTGAATATCCACTCTATTTTTCTAGATACTTTTTTACTTCAATTAAAATTTGTGATTACTTATGTTGTTTGAACAAAGAATGAATTATAAAAGTTAAAAGTGCGTTATAAAAGTAATAACACTATTATAGTGTTATTACTTTTATAATGCAGTTAGTTACTAGAGTGTTATTACTTTTGTAGTCGTAAATTTACTCTTTTATTTTTTATAAAATAATAAACTTGTGTTTGAAAACAAAGAACACGGTTTTGTTTTAACTAAAAAATTTTAAATGCACTGAACTGCAATTACTTTTAATTTTTTTGGTTTAGTGGCTTTTGTTAAGAGCTTTTAAATTTTGTGTCTAATTATCTCATTTCAACATATTTGTTGTATCATCCATTCTGCAGCCATTTTTCAAAACGCCTTAAAGTAAGAAAAATCAACTTTGACTTTTTTACAAAATAAGCTAGTTTAGATGTCTACAAATATTATTGAATACATATTTTCAAAGAGTTCTAAAATATTCATAAAAATTATTAGTTTTGAAAAACGTTTTACAAAGAGTTTCTCCTAATAATTTTTTTTTGTTGTTGTTTTTTTCGAAATACATAATAAGCATATTAAGACGTTTTGAAACGGCTGGAGTATATATTTATAGTAAAAAAATAACATATATTTATAGTAAAAAAATAAATGTAGCAAAAAAACTTTTAATTGTCAAAAGAAAGTTTTAAAGTTTTTTCAAGTTACGGGCTTTTTTTTTTTTTTTGCCTCCTTTTGGAGTATCAGGACTTTCTTATTAAGTTTTTTCTTTATTAATTTTTTGACAATTTTTTTTTCAGATCATTTGCAGCTTATTAGGACTAATTACCTGAGCACATTAATAACATAAGTATCTCAATTATGACACATACACAACAAATTTTTTCTCTCAGTGTTTTGATGTTTTTAGTATTTTTAGCTTTTTTAAAAATCTTTTCGTCTGTTAAAGTGTATAATATCATAACATATTTTGTATATAATCTCTATAAAACTTCAAAAGTATTTTGTATTTTAAAATAATCAAAAAAAGATTTTTAAAAAAAAATTCATTAGTGGTAGGACTCTAACTACAGCTTTTTTGCAGTTTTCAAGTGAAAATAAAACTGCAAAATTTGATACACATTTTAATATGTTTTAACATTACATAATTTCAAGTTGACATAAGTTGAATACTTGCATACACTTTCGCTCACGTTTTCTTATAACAAAATGTATTGTGACTCTTTCTCGCCACTATCTTGGTTGCAATGGCTACTAAGGGTTGTGTGTCAAACACGCTCAAAGGGGCACTACTGCTACTACTAACACTATTAAGTTTGGCAATAATATATAGAGATAATAATAAAAATAATAAAAAAATGGCATAAACTTACAATTGGTATATTGTTTGATATTATTTTCTTTTAAAAATTGACTGCGCATAAATTTAGAATAAACATTAAATAATCTATTCTCTTTTCATGGTATATTTAAACAACTGTAGGTTTCTGTAAGCCTACTATTTACAATCTATAGACTAATTGTCTATATTTTTATAGACAATTTATCTATAGAAAACAAAATAGTTTTATTTTGTAATTCAACTTGCGAAGGACTAAATTTCTTAAGTCTCATTTGGAAAATGAGCATCAACTATTTTAAATAAAATTTAATTTTTAAGATTTCGAAAATAAACACTTTTAATTAGTAAGTTTCAAATTTTTCAAAAATATATATATATATTACCAAGTTTCTTTTTTTAGTTTTTATAAAAAAAGGTTTAAAAAAGGTACTTTATTTGTTATCAAAAGAAATAAACTAAAGAAGTAAAGAAGTAATAAACTAAATAAGTATAAAACTAAAAAAGTACTAAATGACTTGTTGGTGAAGGTTGAATTATGAGGAGTAATTATAGCAACAACAAAAAAAAAGACAAGATACAACTATTTATAAAGCTCAACCGAATTGTTAAAAAAATAAAAAAAAAAGATAACAAATAATTATTTATAAAGCTTGACAAAATTGTTGAAAAAATTAAAAAAGAGAATATACAACTATTTATTAAACTCAGCCATTTTGTTAAAAAATAAATAAAAAAAAGATAACATACAAATATTAGTAAATGGCAATAAGCATATTAGGCAACTGAACATTTACAAAGAAAATATTCAGAAAGAACACCTAAATAATCAAAATAACTCTTAAACAATTGTTTAAATTGTCAAAAATTTCTAAATAGTAGATATCCATCAGCTTAGCACTTCGCGTCTTTTAAATTTTTTTAATGTTTTTAACAGGAGCTCGTTTTGATGATGGTGCAGGGGGAGACAATGAGGTTCAGAGAACAATGCTAGAATTAATCAATCAACTAGATGGTTTTGATCCAAGAGGAAATATTAAAGTCTTAATGGCTACAAACAGGTGAAATTTATATTTAAATAAATTTAACATTACAATTAACATTATTAAAACAATGTCTCTTTTACAGACCAGATACTCTCGATCCTGCATTAACTCGACCAGGTAGATTAGATAGAAAAGTTGAGTTTTCATTACCAGAATTAGAGGTGTGTTGAGTTAATGTTTATGTTTTTTATTTTTTTTTTAATTATTTGTACAATAAGTATGTGTTCTTATTTTGCATCTATAAATGTTTTATCACTGAGTATTGGTGTTTAGGGCCGCACACATATTTTCAAAATTCATGCTCGTTCAATGAGTGTAGATAGAGACATACGTTATGAATTGTTAGCTAGGTTGTGTCCAAACAGTACTGGTAACAATATTGTTTTTATTTTTTTTGATGTGGCAATAAAACAGTAACTTTTTCCATGAAATTCATAATTTTTGTTAGTATTTTAGTATATATATATATATATATATATATATATATATATATATATATATATATATATATATATATATATATATATATATATACACACATACATACATACTAGGGGTGTTCAAAAAAAAAATTTTTCAAAATACAAATACACAATAAACCAAATTTGGGGCAAACATAAAAAAAATACGATTAAAAAAAAAAATTCAAAAATATTGACATTTACCTTGTGCTCAAGCGGCAAAATGCCCCAAATAGTTCCCAAGTAATTTGGCTTTGAGCGCTAGGTAAATCTCAATATTTTGTAATTTTTTTTTTATATATTTTGCTCATAATGGTTCAAACTTTTTTTTGGTTTGTTGTATCTCCTGTTTTTTTCATAATTATTGTTTAAATTAAAAAAAAAATTTTGCAAAAAAATAGTTTTAACGCGCATTTAACAAAAGAAATAAACTTTTACTTAATGTCAAAAGCGTGAAAACACTTTAGTGCTATTTAAAATTTACTTTTGTTTGCTTGTTTTGCTTCACTGCATTTTTCCGGATGTTGTCTTTAGAATTGAAAAAGCAACAAGACTTCAGAAAAGAACTGGGAAAAATCTTTTGGGCAGGAATACCTGACTTACAAAGCTGGATAAAAAAGGACAAAAATAGATCCGGCCTAGATAAGAAAGAGGACCTAGAATTTATATACAATCAAGAACATGACAGAAAGTTATTTCTAGGGCCAGAAGATAAGAAATACAGGAAGAGGGTTATTCATTTAATGACCTTTTTTTTCCTGAATTTAAAAACTACCTTTTGCTACTTTTTCATTATTGAGCTTTAATACTTTTTACATTATTATCTTTTTTAATTTTACAAAATTTTGATAAAGACATTTAAAAATAATAAAATCAAATAATAATAATAACAATAATAATGATAATAACAATAATAATAATAATAACAATAATAATAATATTAACAATAATATTAATAATGGGGCATGTTGTTTAGATTTTAGAGAATACAAGAAAAAGAAATTCATCTAAAAAAGATGCTGCAAAATTACTGGAAAGAAGGAATTCAGAGTTGGAATTTAGTCCAACACGAGACCCGATCGAAGATTCATCGTTTGATTCAGATTATGACCCAGGATATTGGCGTTCTTCAGAGTCTAATAGCATAATAAAAGCTGAGATTCCAAAAGATGTTCTTTCTGGTAATGTTGCCCTAATAGCTACAGTTACTGATATTTCTCCCAATGTTTTGACAAAAGTTACGGCTGCAATCCTTGATAGTTGTAGCGTTGATCTTACAAATGTAAGTTGCAGCAGTTCGACAGCATCTAGAAAGATAAAACAAACAGCTCAAGAAATGGCAGCTTTTGCTAAAGAAGATGTCATACTTAGTATCCAAGCGTTACCCTACCCATGCATCGTTCATTTTGATGGAAAAACACTTTTCGAAACCAATAATGGAAAAAAATGACAGACTAGTCATCGATAAGGAGTCACATCTTCTCGGTGTTACGCCATTAGCCTCTTCATCTGGGGAAGATCTGTACAATGGAGTGATGAAACTACTAAAAGAGTACAATCTTGAATCAAAGATTGGATTACTTTGCTTTGATACAACATCAAGCAATACAGGTATACATAAAGGATTTCTAGTAAGAATATCTACTGCGCTAAATAAGTATCTAATTCTCTTAGCTTGCAGACATCATGTTTCTGAATTGAGAATTACACACTTCTGTGAAGCTGTAACAAATGAAAAAACTACAGTGCCTGATAATCTTCTGTTTAAACAATTCAAAAACATGTTTGAGCAGCCTAATTTCGAGTATAAACCATCTTTGCTAGTTAAATTTTCTTGGGATGAAGTTAAAGGAACTGTTGTTGAAAAAGCTGCAATAGAATCTCTTGACTATTGTAGGTTTTACTTATCAAGAAATGATATTGCAAGGGAAGATAGAAAAGAGCTAGCAGAGCTAGTGGTCAGCTATCTCTCTGCTTCTAACATTAAAATTAAAAAGACTAGAGCTATTCACCATGCGAGATTTTTAGGGAAATCTATATACTATTTAAAAATGCAAATTCTTTCAAATCAGATTGATTTTCTTCTAAAAAGTAAAGAACATAAAATAATAACAGAATTTATAGCTTGCTTTTATGCAAAGTGGTATCTGCAATCAAATGATACAATCAAAGCTTCTTACATGGATGTTACTGCCATTCATCAAATGCATCAATATAAAACAGTATGTGCAGAACCAGATGTCGTAAATGCTGTGTTGAATTCTTTATTCAAACATACATGGTATCTAGATTCAACTCTGATTCCTTTAGCTTTGCTGGATGATAATGTTACACTTGAAGAGAAGAAAAAAATTGCTGCTGCAATATTATCATATTCAAAACCAATGCCATGCTATTTTAAAACGAAAAATAAACAGAACAAAGACATAAAAAAAATGTTAACACTTGAACTAGACATTCATCAGCAGCCTCCTAGCTTAGCTCCTTTGGTTGGCGAGTTCTCATGGTTAATGTTTGAGAGTGTTGGAATAGATGAACAGCGAATTGAGGACTGGCTGACCTTGCCACCTCAGTATTGACACACGCAATCATCGCTTAGATTATTTCTAAAATTTGCAAAAAGTTGTTTGTGTAAATAACCATGCCGAGAGGGCTATTGGAATGATGCAACAATTTGTTCACCGCTACAGAGATGAGGAAGAAAAACAAAATAGACTTATTACTGTAGACAAAGTTCGTTCAATTCTCAAGGCATCAGACAGCAAATCGTTATCAACCAATAAAATAAATAAGCAAGTATTAAGCAAGAAAAGAATCACCGATGGATTACTTAACATACGCTCCAAAATACAGAAAATAAATTGAAACAAGTTACAAAAAATTAAAAAAGTTTGTATCATTCAATCAACTTTTATTTTATTCTCAAAAGATTAATTAAAATAAAATTAAATTTCTTTTTGAGACATTAAACAATGTGATTATATATAAGTCATATAAATGCAGAATTATTATACATTATTTTGTTAAAGGTGCGTTAAAACTTTTTTTTTTTGCGTATTTTTTTGCAAAATCTGTTTTTTATTTAAACAACAATTATGAAAAAACCAGTATACACAACAAACTAAAAAAAAAGTTTGGACCATTATGAGCAAAATATAAAAAAAAAATTACAAAATATTGAGATTTACCTAGCGCTCAAAGCCAAATTACTTGGAAACTATTTGAGGCACTTTTCGGGGTATTTTGCCGCTTGAGCACAAGGTAAATGTCAATATTTTTGAATTTTTTTTTTAATCGTATTTTTTTTATGTTTGCCCCAATTTTGGCTTATTGTGTATTCGCGTTTTGAAATTTTTTTTTTTTTGAACATCCCTAATACATACATACATACATACATACATACATACATACAAAAATATAAAAAAATAGAATTAAAAAATAACTTTTGTTAGTATTTTAGTGTATATATATATATATATATATATATATATATATATATATATATATATATATATATATACACACACAAAAATACTAACAAAAGTTATTTTTTAATTCTAATTTTTAATTGGAGAGTTAAGTAGTTATCAAGCATTTAACAGTTTATTGAAACATCATAACGCTTTAAATTACAAATGAATAAATTGTCCTCTTCCATAAGTTGTATTCATAGAGAAAAGCCGTTAATCAACCTTAATCATAAGGCTTTAAATTACAAATGAGTAAACTGTCCTCTTCCATAAATTGTATTCATAGAGAAAAGCTGTTAATCAACCTTAATCATAGAGAAAAGCTGTTAATCAACCTTAATCAACAGTTTTCCATCTTTTTAGGTCTAGTGCTTGTAACTGCTTTTTGTTTGCTCTTCAACATTAACATCTGATATTCTTGGTGACTAATATGTTTATCATCAAAGTGCAGTGACCAGCTTTCTTAATGCAGCGCTTTCTTCATTTCTCCTTTAAAGGGATCCCTAACTGCCAAGACAAGTTGTGTTCATATTAAAGAAAAGGTTTTAAAAAAAATATTTGGGCTAAATTCTTTTGATTGAAACTAAATAATGAATGCATACTAACAAAATTAAAATTATTGTTCTAGTTCAAACTCGCCTTTTCCAATTTTTTTTGGTTCTCTGAGTCTGTATAATGTTAGAAGCAATCTTCAGACTTGATAATTTATTCCATGTGTGTTTAATTCACAACAGCTTCAGTATATGATGTCATCGCAATATCTTTTTAAGATATTGCGATGGTATACTTTTTAAGTATTTTTTCTACTACAATCAGAAAATCAAATATTTGTATAATTTGCCATGTCGCATAAAATATTTTTGATTTAGTAAAAATTAATACAAATATATTTTTTTATATTATATTTTTTTTACTTACTTTATTATTACTTTGTACAAAACAAATATTTGTTTTAACTTTAATTTAGTTTGATTTGTACAGTTATTAATAAAATAATTCATTTAATATTTACTTTCTACTTATTTCAGTTCATATGTTTTATTCAAGTCACTTGTTTTTTATTCAATTTATAATTTAAATTAATTTTTACGATTTAGTAAAATTATTCTTTTAGTATCTAGTTTATATTTAGTTTAAACCAGTACGTTTTACTGTAAATATTTGTTATATAATAAATTTTATAAATTTAATTTTTAATTGCATCACAAACTTTTTTTGGGGATTTAGTAAAAAGTGATACAATTATCATGATTTGGTGATTGTGGCAAAAAAATAATACAATATCTTGAAAGAAAAATTTATACGATGGCGTCATATACCGAAACTGTTATGAATTAAACACGCATGGAATAAATTATCAAGTCTGCAGATTGCGGCTAACATTATACAGACTCTGAAAACCAAAAAAATGGAGACGGCAAGCATCAGCTTAAATGTGAATTTTAAAATTAATGGTGTGCATTCAATAAGTAGTTTTAATCAAAAAAATTTAGCCCAAATGTTTTTTTTAAACATTTTCTTTAATATGAACACAACTTGTCTTGGCAGTTGGGGATCACTTTAAGTTTAACATTTTTTTAAATAGTTGATCTGAATATACCAGACTATGAAGGTGTTTAAATGTCTATCCCATCTTGAGATAACTGTTGACAAATGGTTGACAGATGAGTCATCAGCAAAAAGAGCTACTTTAGATGAAAGGTTGTCAGGAAGATCCTTTATGTAGATAAGAAACAAAACAGGGCCCAGGATGGAACCTTAGGGAACCCCAGAAGTTACTGGAAATAAAGAAGAGTGTTGGCCTTCAAGGATGACTTTAATAAACCGGTTAGAAAGAAATGATTTGATAATCTCAAAAACTTTCCCAGAAACACCATATGAAGCAAGCTTATGGAGAAGACCAGCATGCCAAACTTTTTCGAAAGCTTTAGATATGTCGAGAGCAATAGCCCTAGCCTCACCGCCTCCATCTAATGCGCAATAAAATCTTTCAGTTACAGCAGTTAGCAAGTCAGCCGTAGAGCGAGAGGATCGAAAACCGTATTGATTGTCTGACAGTAGTTTATTTGACTCAAGATGAGATGTGAGGAATTTGTTGATCAAAGACTCAAAGACCTTGCTAATAACAGAAAGAAGACTGATCGGACGATAATTGGAGGGGTCAGAATTTTCTCCAGAGTTTTTGAATATTGGAACCACAGATGCCATTTTCTAACAAGCAGGAAAACAAGACTCAGTCAAACACTTGTTAAATAGTTTAGAGAGAATTGAAGAAAGTTCTGGAGAACAATTCTGCAAGACTGTGACAGGAATGTTGTCTTGACCACAAGCTGTAGACGAGTTTAATTGAGATATAACTTTAGCAACAGAAGCCGGAGTGATTTGAATGTTTAACAATGGGTCAACCTGTTTGACTGGAATGGAAGGAAGAGAATGTCCATAAGATTCAAGAGTGGAATTAGGAAAAAAGTTCTTTGCAAATAGTTCTGCCTTATCCTTGGGAGAGGTAATAAGATCAGTCCCATGAATGAGAGATGGAATGTTAGATCTACACTTGTTAATAATGCTGTTGAAGATTTTCCAAAAGTCTTTAGAGCCTAACTTCTGCGATAAGATGCGAGATTTAGTGAACTGAGAAGGAAGGAATAAAAGCTTCCATTCCAGCCTGAATCCAGGAGGTTACGTAGGAGGCGCATTTGTCAGCTGAGAGAGAAAAAACATCAGCCCAAGGACCATCACGAAGAAAATCACGAAAGAAATCCTAATCAGCTTTAGGGTAGTAGTAGGTGGTGCGATGATAAGGTGAGCCCAAAAAAGAAGTACGAGAAGAAAGATTTATAGAGATCATTGCATGGTCAGAACCACCTAAGGGAGTAAAGGGAGAAACTGAACATAAGCTAGGGTCAGAGACAAGACATAAGTCAAGGAGTGAAAGTAAATGATTAGGGTTGTCAGGAAAACGAGTCACAAAGCTAACTATCTGAGTAAGAGATTGAGAAACGCAGAAGTTAAAGGCTTTAGTGCCAGCAGGATCAGTGGTGTTAGAGCCAAGCCATTCAGTGTGATGGGCATTAAAATCACCAACAACAACAATATTGGCAGAGGGGTAAAGAGAGAGGGCATGGTCAATTTGATCAGAGATAACATCTAAAAGAGTGCAATCATGGGAAGAAGGAGAACGATAAAGAACAAAGAGAAAGGTGATAGAGTGAAGAGGTGCTACGCGAAAGCACATGAAAGAATGGTCAAAGGATTCGAACCTGATTTCACGACAAATAGGGGAATTAATGCATATGTATACCCCTAAACCTAGCATGTGACTATTTGAGTCTTTATGAATCAAAGGATAGTACCCATCAACACTGACATCTGAAGAAGGAATTGCAGAATTTAAATTTGTTTCACTGAGTGCAAGCAAGTCTGGTGAATTTTGCAGGAGGTAAGACTCAACTTATGGAAAGTTGCTTCGTAGACTGTGAATATTTGTAAAAGATATATTAAATTATTCAGGTGGTGGGGATGGTTTTAGTATATTTATGTATATATTTTTAATAAACTAAATATCATTATTCAATGATCATGTAAATGAATTCATTGAGTCAAAAGTATTACTCTTATATATTTATATTTATTTTCAGTTAAAGAGTATTGTATAATTAAAATATGACTCAGTACTTATTTATATATACACTATTCTATAGACCTGTCTTTGATTTTTTTTTCTTTACTTTTTAATTTTATAGACATTTTTATTTTAACATGTAAAATTTTGGTAAAAATCTCACTATGTTGGGCATGAAACAGAATGCACTATATCGTATCAAAAATGTACCCAAGAATTTATCTATTAACCTAATGAAGCAACTTAGAGCTGTTTTAACTACCAAAAAAATAAAAATAAATTATTTTTTTCACTCAGTTAATTTTTTGAGTTTCTGCAGTCAAGAAGGCTTTTTTTTTTTTTTTACGATCTTGTTGCCAAGGTTTGCTTTCAAAGTTAAAAGGGTGAGAATGGTTTGTAACAATATAAAACATAAAAATACATAAATTATAGAATTTGAAATATTTTGTTTGAACAATTCAAACTCACTTATAGAATAAAATTTCTATTTAATATTAAAAATCTTTGGTTATGTATGTTTTATCATTAGGTAACTCAATATGACATGTGTGTACAATGTTGAAACCAATTTAACATTAAATACTGATTTCACCTAGATTTTATCATATTTCATGTGTACAGTAATAATTTGACATAAGTGTACAGCGTTGAAACAGTAATAATGAGACATAAGCGTACAGCGTTGAAATAGTAATAATGTGACATAAGCGTACAGCGTTGAAATCAACTTAACAATAAATAATTAAAAATTGTACTTTTTATTAATAAAAAAAAGTTGTGATTTTTTATTAGGGGCTGAAATTCGAAGTGTCTGCACAGAGGCTGGTATGTTTGCTATTCGCGAAAGGAGAAAGGTAATTCCTTTATTTACTTTTAAAGTTTTTTTATTGGTTTTAATTGGTTTTAATTTTTTTATTGGTTTTTGTAAGTTTTTTTATTGGTTTTAAAGTTTATTTATTATTATATTAAAAAGATATTTAGTTTCTGTTATTTTTAATTTCTGTAATTTTTAAGTGAATTTAAAAAAAAAAAAGTTTAGTTTACCTAAAATTCCAAATAAGATTTTACTTAAGACAGATTTATTTTAAGACAGATTTTATAATTTTCCGTAATTTAAAATTTTAACCAATATAAAGTGAAATTAGTATGTGCAGATTCAGGCCAAAATCTCTACTTTTTTTTTTTTTTTTTAATATAATTATTTAATCAATATTTTTAAAACTATTATTATTGCTACGATTGTATTTTAAGTTACTACATGTCACGTTTAATATAGATATAATATTTTTTTTTATATGGTAAACTAAAGGGTTAGTTGAACAATTATTTCTATAATTAAGACTATATGACTATATATATTCTCGTAAATATAAAGTTTATATAGAAAATTTAAAGTAAGTTTAACAACCTTCGAAATTCCAAATAACAAAGTGTAGTTTAAACTGTGTTCATCCATTTGCTTTCTCTACTAAAACTAATAAAAAAAGCAATTAATTAATTAAGCAAAATAAACACAATTTAAATTATGCTTTTTTTAAATAGCTTCACATTTAGTCGAAATGTGAAGCTATTAAAAAAATGGTAAATTGAACTTACTGCAACAAACCTTTTATCTACGACTTAAATGTGGTTTAAGAAAAACACCTTTTAAAACTTTATCATTTATAAATAAAGAACTATAATATATTGACAAATCTAAATCAAACAAACAAGATTTAAAAATATAATCTACAAAGAAAGCACTTCATAATTTTTTATGGGAACCCTTTTTAATAAAAAAGTTGCTTTTTTTAACGGATTGTTTTTAGAGTGTATAGAATAATCTCACTCGATTAATTTTAAAAAGTTTAACTAATTAGAATAAACCCATTCTAATGTTAAGAAAGTATAATTATTAGAAAGAATTATAAAGTAAATGTTGGAAAGTTTAGAACAAAACCTTGATTTGAATATATATGAAGAATTTTTAAATCAAATCTTTATAATTTGACTCAAAGTTTCGAAGTTTTTCAAATATTATTGATTATGCTTATTGTTAACAGTTATTGATATAAATTCTTGAAGGTTTATTTAATATTAAAAAGTTTTTGTTTCGAAAAAAAAATGGATTAAACTTATTAAAATAAAATAAATTAGGCGAGTTTATTTGCATGTTTCACTTTTCTATATTTTATAATATCTGGCTTATAGGATTTATCTTTAGTTAAACCTGCAATTCCATTATATCCGTTATTAGGCTTGAGTTAAAGATTCTAAAATTGTTATTAGATGTATATTGTGTCCAGGTTCAAATAACTTTTTGATTCTCTACATCAAGATAGTTTTTTGAAAGATACAAGCAACAAGATTTTTTAAATTTAGAAATCTTGTTGCTTTTTCTTTCATAACATTTCATTTTAAATCTTTTTAAATATTAACTAAGCAAGTTGCAACATAACGTTTGTTTATAAACAAGTTTAAATGCTAGTCAATACTATTTGCAGTTTCTAATAAATTAACAACAATGTATTTAGTGAAGCTAATTTTTTTGTGTATTTCATTGCCAAAATTCTGATCTAAAATTGTTTAAAACTTTAATGTGTGTTGAGCAAGTTTGCATCTAAACGAATTTTTAAGACATATTTTTTCGTTTGTTTTTGTTTTCTTTTTTGAAGTTTGATTGCTTACATTAGTGATTTAGACAGGTTTCTGCAATTTTCGAAGTTGAAATATGGAAGAATTGAAGAAACCTTTTTACAACAGAATGCTTTTCCTGTTGTGAACCTGTTTTTCAGATCAGGAATAAGTATTTTATTGCGTTTACTACCAAAAATATATAATCTTATAAGATTTACAAGATCCTCCTACCCTTACCACAGTTTAATATAGATTAAGACAAGGTTCTGTCCTGGCTCGAATAGAATCTTTAAAAGTATTATGCAGTTGCATAATTTCCATTTCTGTTAAACCTACTTTCAATAAAATAATTTATCAAAAACAAGTTTTATGCATAAAGCATAATCAAGATAATTTGCTTGTTTGTCTGAAATAAAAATTTTGCTTGAATATAATTAACCATTTCCATAGATATAATTTTACATAATGATATGTTAAGAGAGTAAGATTACAGAAAAATAATCAGCTTATAACTACTTTTAAGGGCTGTGTTCTCCCTCTTTTTTTTATCTAAATAGTTGATAATCAGTTCTACTATATATGTTCTTCTTTGTGGCTAAGTACTTGGACAAGTACTCTTGTTAGTAACAAGTCCAGGCGTTGTCACAATAAGATGTTTTTTCTAAAAAAACACTCTAATAAATGACATTTGTTTTACTTATATATTTTTAATAACATAAAAAATAATTAAATGTTTTATATTAAATTTTATACTATGTATGTATCATGTTTCTTTAATAATTTCAATTTGAAAATTTATTAAGTTTAATATTTTATTTTATTTTGTTAATTAAACCTTTCATTAAAAAAAAATAAGTGGACAATTTTTTAATTAAACTATTTTCGCCTAATAACAATTGAACTCTTCATTTTGAAAATTAAGTTGAAGATATGTACAGTTATTGGAGACTTGGTAGGCTAGAACAAAGGAGCATACTAAAGAGGAGAAGAAAATTCAGAAACATCTGAAGAAAAAGCTAGGTTAAGTTGCAGATGTTTTCCAGATTCAAAGATTCTGAAATATCGAATGATGGAAATACAGCCAAAAGATTTTTTAAAGTAAAATGTATTTTTGTTGAAAATAATTTAAAAAATCTTTTATTGTAGTTTGTTCCTTTTCATTTTGTTCTTTTATTTCATTGTTTTTAGGACTACACATTTGTTGTCGAAGTACTGGGTTTGTCGAAGTAAAAAATTTAAAAATTGTTTTTCGAAGCACTGGGCTTGGAGAAAGCTATGGAAGATAAGCTTTAATATCCTTTCTGTTCTGAGGAAATCAATCTTTATCTATTCCGAGCTTATTGATGGAATAATGCCAGCTGTTTTTTTCAAACATTACAGCTATTACATATCCCAGTACCTGCACTAAATGCTGGACCATGACCATTAAGTGAAAAGAGCCAAAAAAAACATCCTAAATATGATGTTTTCGAAGATTTCACGTCTTTTAGGAGTCTTTTACGAGAAAGATCTTAAAGAAAGCTACAGACTTAAACTAGTGATCTATGTTCCTCGGATCAAAGTATTAGCTCACTAAGGAGAAGTGTTGATAAAAAGAGGGAGTCTGAGTTCCCAGATGATGTAAATTTTCTGCTTACTGTTTGATTTTACATTGTACAAAAAATTTCTTTTTACTTTTACACAACTTTAAAAGTAGTAAGATTTTAAATTATTATAAGAATCGATGCTAAATGATAATTAGTTAAATATTCATTTTCTATTTAAAACAAATACCTGGCATTAGTTACCTGGCGCCAGTTGGAGTGTAAAAAACCCAATTTCGGATTTTGACCACTCTAACCGTATTCATTTTAAGATTTGGAAGGATCCTGGAACATGGATAAATAGGAAAAAACGAATTTCAAACCCCAAAAATTTATATTTAGATGTATAATATAAAGGTTCCTTATAGTTTTATTAATTTTTTGCGTGTTCTAACTCATTGTGCTCTGATGAAAAATAAATTTGGGTTCCTTACTTTTTAAAATTATCTTTTATGTCCGTGCTGTTAATGATTATTTGTTAAGAAAAGTTAAAACAGTTTTAAAAACAAACGAATCTGGATTATTATCTAGAACTTTTAACTCGCGCAAAAAATGTCTTGGAAATGGTCGTGAGTTTTCAATAATTTTTTCTTTAAATAATGGCATTTTTTAAATATATTTTAAACAATTATTTACTTAAATTATTTTGTAAATTATTGAACAACGTATCGTTGTTCTATAGTTTATTAATGTCATATAAACCTGAACGCCAGTTCCATTATATTATCTCTCATTTCATTATCCGTTTTATGTTTAATTAGTAATTTTACTTTAAATAACAAATAAAATAAAAATTACTAAATTAATAAATTTCAAATTTGTATAAAATCAAAAATATCTTTTTGTTGTTGTTTTTATTACAAATGTTTCTTATTTTTATGCTAATGATAATGTAATCAATTAAATAATAATGCTAATTTTGTGTTTAAAAATTTTTAGGTTGCTACGGAAAAAGACTTTTTAAATGCAATTCAAAAAGTAATAAAAGCTTATGCGAAATTTAGTGCCACTCCAAAATACATGACGTATAACTAGGTCCAAGTTTTTCACCGAAATAATTTTTTTCTCGTGTTTCTTCAATGTATTGTAACTTATTACTTATCAGGTTAAAATATAAATACTAAAACTAAAAGGTAATTTATTTTCTAATAAAAACTTAAGTGAAAAAATTAAAGCCAATTCATAAAAATATGGTTTAACTTTATTTAAAGGTAAATTCATCCGGTTGCAGCTACATGGGACTGTAATAACTATCTGTAGGAGCCCCTATCATTAGACGTCTATTTCTACATTCAATGTACAAATACACGTCTAATGATAGGAACTCCTACAGATAGTATATTACAGTCCCATGTAGCTTAAAAAGAATGTACTACATTCTTTTTTTACAAAGAAGTGAACGCATGAAACGCTAAATTATATTTTACAGTCAATTTTATTAACATATCGGGTGGATATGGAAAAATCCGGTCATCTTTAAATTGAAATTTCTCTAAAACCATTAATGCTTTTTATTTCAATTCTTTTTTATATTAAATGTGGTTACATCAATTAGGGTTTTATCTTAATTTTAAGAGGCTTGATTGTTCGACTAGAAATCAATTTTTTTTTTTTTTTTTTTTTTTTTTTTTTGTTACTCCACCTGTCTTACGAAAAACTCCTTTAACTATGGCCAAAAATCTTAAATCTTGCGTTCTTCAGGACGATTTATAGGGTTCGCATCTTTAGGAACAATTTCTACATTGTAGAACTTTTTTAGAATATTGAGAAGCAGCAAGTTCTAGCCAAAAGAGACATCGGTAGCTACAAATTGCTTGCCACACAAGAAACTTGGATTCAAATTTTTCTCGACGAATATATTTAAATTGATCATTGTCAGGTTTATCTTTGTTCTCATAGTAAAATTGATGACCAGGAATTTGTGAATAATCCGCCTTGCAAATGTTTTGTCGTCTTTAATTATGCACATATTTTTATCCGCCATTATTTTAACCAGCTTCTTTGCGCGTCGAATTCCTTTGATTTCATCATATAAGCGAGAACTCGTTTTGGCTCGTTTGTTTATAACAATATAAATTATAAATCTATACGCAAATGAATGTTTAAACAGAATATCATCAAGTTCAAAATATTATTGTTGTTGTTATTATTTTTATTATTGTTATAATTATTATTATTATTATTATTATAGTTGTTGGAAATAATCGCTTAATTATATGCATATGTATACTATATATCCAAAAAAATTATTTTTAAAACCGCATTCATAATTTTAGTATCCACTTTAAGTATTTTAAAATCAAAAAAATAACCACAATTATTTTATTGGACTGATTAAATACAACTCATTATTATTTATCAAAAGTTTCCATCATTAATATAAAAAATTTAATACAAAATATTTTTTTAAAATTTAAAAGCTGTTTTTAAATTGACAAAATGTGATTCAACACAGTCAAAATTGAATTTGACAGTGTCAAAATCCACTGATACAAGTGAGGATTCTGTATTTAATTAATTACATAACAAAATCAATAGTATATATTATAATAGTTAGTAGTAATGTAATATATTATACTTAATAATTAATAAAATAATATAATTATACATAATAATTAATAAAATAAAAACAGTTGTAATTATTATAGAGAAAAATTTTTTATAATTTATGTACTCAAATGCGTTATATTCTAACTACAACTATATAGCATATATTTTACAGTTACACGCGATTTAAGGAACCAACTATATTTCTAATGTTTATAATATAATATTGCTACTTATTACTTTATGTATTACCACATACCAGGCAAATAGCAATATGATTCGCCAAAGTCGTCAAAACTATCATGAAGTGTTTTATAGTTATAAGTTGGTGTCTGTTTTAGATGTGTGTGTAGTTTTATAGTTTTAAGTTGGTGTCTGTTTTAGATGTGTGTGTAGTTTTATAGCTATAAGTTGGTGTCTGTTTTAGATGTGTGTGTAGTTTTATAGTTATAAGTTGGTGTCTGTTTTAGATGTGTGTGTAGTTTTATAGTTATAAGTTGAAAGTCTGTTATAGATGTGTGTGTAGTTTTGAAAACTAAATTACTATATTTCTTTTAGATTACTTTGAAACTATTTCTTAAATTTATGTTTGTATAGTCTAAGAGTCTTGTGCTTATATTTATTACTTCGCTCTTTGCTAGGAAATAAATCAACTTCAATATGCAAAAAGCAAAGAAAAAAACTTGACAGTGTCTCTAAGCTTTTTTCTTTGGAAAAAAAGGAATACTTCGATGCTAAAAAAATATATTCATATAGCTCTGGTAGCTTTTAAGGAGTGTTAATAGACATAAATTTTGATTTTTAATTTTTGACTTGATTTTTCTCATTTTGAGATTTTTAGTTTTTTTTTTAATTTTAAAACATGATATTTCCGGCTTAAATTGAGTAATTAACCTGAAATATTAGGATATAATTCATACATGTAGAATTCATTTGTCATAAGATTTTAAAAATTTCCTTTTTTAGGGCGCTATATTGTCGTTTTATCTGCCATAGTTTTTTCATAAAAATATATATTCAAGTCTAAAGTCAATATAATCTGAATCAGGGAGGCAAACTTAAAAGTCCTATGACAAATGAATTATTGTACACATGTAGAACTATGATAACAAACTTGGAGTTTGATCTATAGTCACTATTGAGAAAGTGTTTTGAAGTTTTTGTTTTTTATCCACTTTTTAATAAAATTTTGAGGCAAGCAAGGCACTTTTTTTTTAATTTTTTTTAAATTTAATGTTTAATTTCATAATTATTGTTAATAATAGCTTAACTTTATTGTGAATATAGCTTTGATTTTTGAAAAAATATTTTTCACAAGTCTACCACCTTAAGTCATCTACATTGAGGTGGTGTTAGTTTTTGATTTGAAACCCTAATTTTCGTTGTTGTTTTTTTGTTGCTGTTGTTCTTTTTTAAAAATATTTTTGAGCAAGCTCTTTATATGAAGCTTTCTATTTTTTCCATTATTTTAATATCATAATTTGTTTTTTCCGTTGTGGGAATGTTTATAATATAATATTGCTACTTATTACTTTATGTATTACCACACACCAGACACAAATACCGAATATTTTTTTTACGAGAATAATTAAACTAGATGTTATTCGCAATTAAATATACATATAAAGAGCGATCAACGAGTAAATGTTAGTAATGTAACACGTAAGTGTGCACAATGGCGTCGCTGAGGTTAGTGCAGTAAATCTTTGGTGTCACCCCTCTAGACTTTCTTTAACAGGGCCGACGACATAGGTTCATAATTTCTAAAAAAAAAAAAAATTTTTTTTTTTTTTTTTCCATTTTGGTGTCAGGTCGTGATGGTGTCACCTGGTGCGGCCCGCACCTTCTAGTGACGCTTTTAGCGTCGCTAGAGGCTGATATTTCTGAACGTTGTGTTCAATATTTCCAAAAATTCTTATCGTAATAAAGAAATTGTAACGATTGAAGTTTGTAATAATTTAACATTACTGAATTGTTATACTACAATTAATGATTTTAAACTGAACTTTAAATTTATCAAATAACGGTACTCGCCATTTAAAAATGCTACCCAGGCGGTAAGTAACGGTTGTTACAAGGGAATGGCTTTTTTATTTTACTTACACGAGTAAGTTCATTTTTATCAAAAAGTAAACTACATAAATAATTTTAAACGTTTTATGTAAATTTACATTTCCGTATAAGTAATTAATTTTTTTGAAACGACTTTTAATTTATAATGTAAATTTTTTTACTTTCAAAAGTAAGTTATGTAAAAGAAGATTACAATAAAAAGTAATTTACTTTTACATATAAAAGTAAGTCACGTGAAAAAGCTGTTTACTTTTACATTAAAAAGTTAATTACAGGTATACGTACCGCAAAAACCACAATGTTGGCTTAAGTGACCTAGCATATAGAAAAAGATTCAGTATTCAAAAAACCTAATATATTATGATAGCTAATATGTCAGCCTATAAATTAAAGCAGTTTTAGTGGGTTTTTTATTTGTTAAATATTAGGTATTCGCACCAAAGTAAGAATTTCAATTACAAAAATGCCTAGTTTTTTTTGTCTTGCTGGAGCCAACTTTTTTTGCACTAAGAAACTTAAAAACAAGAACCGGTTTTGATGCCTATTTCCCATGTATTGCCTAAGATGGTCATAAATCCCTCTCGATTAATTGATTGCATTGGGTTATAAAGATAATTCTTGGCAACTCTGTTCTCATGATAAAGATTTTTTATTAACCTGATCAAGCAACTGAGTTACACCAGCAGTGTCGGGAGGAGAAATAAATAATCAAATTTGTTTTAAAAGGAGGTATATTAAACCCTCGTTACTGAATCGTGAACTATATCCGTCAGATAATAAAACAACAGGTCGTTTTATTGCCTTCTCAGTGAGGTAATCATCAAATTCTTGGCACTTTCTTTTCTAATTTTAAATTTTTTGCATCTGTGACCTTTCTCCCAATAGATGCCTCAGGCTTACTTTTTCCATGAATAGATTGTAATTTTTCCTGTCTGAGCTGAATTTTTGGCTTCATTTTCTATGTTATTTTTTTCTAACTCTATTTGATTAAAAAAACTATCGTTAAACATTTTAGAGTACATTATTCGCTTACAGAGCATATCTAAATACTAAAATACTACTTTCAAGTAAAAATGTAGATTTTACTCTAGTTTCAAACACAAAGTAAGTTTTAATAAATTCTTGCAATTATTAGGTTTTAAAATTGTTATTGATTTTTATTACGTAAAAAACACGATGCAAACTTTGTTTAAAACACTGCAATGACATCTTTAGAATCAAGAGGTTACATTGAATCGATATAGTAAAATGCGAGAACATGTTTAGCCTATAAAATGTTATTTTAAAAACATCAATGTTGTTTTTGGGATACCTATCTTGTAGTTTTTGTGGTGCATCGGGTATTTTCTCCAAGATTAAGTTAGCAGTAACTGGTTTTATTTAAAGCAGATCAAATAATATTAGGACACGCCAAATTTCAGCTTCATAGGTTCACTAGCTGCAGGGATACAATCAACAAATTGAATGCGGTTTTTGGGGTACACATACAAAAAACATCAAAAGTTCAGTTAACAATAAAACAAAACCATTTCTTAAAAATTAATCAAACTAGCTGGGAAGAACTGATTTTAAGCAACTCTACACACATTCAAAGCAGTTTTTCTAAAAAGCAAATAATAAAAAAGTTATTGAGATGTGCTTTTTTTGGTGTTTTTGCGGTACTTTTGAAAATTAAATTACATAATATAAAGGTTCCTCAAACTGTAATTTATATTTACCTATAAAAGCAGTTAGCAGAAGGCCCATATAGCCTTGGGAGACTCAGAAAGGGTAATAATTGGCATAATTGTTATTTCTTTTTTACAAGTTTTTTGCGTAAATGTATATATTATTTAAAAAATAAGGAGAGAAAATTTAAACTTGTCCTAAATTATGGGGACTACAGCACCATGCCCTGAAGATTTAGGAGCCCCGACCTTTTTAAGAGAACACTTTATTTTTGTAAAGATTTTTTGCCACTTTGGTACGAAAAAAGTCTACCTGCTCAAGAATGTTCTTTGACTCTAAAAGTCGTGGCTTAAACAACTACGGTACTTATATATTTTTAGATTTGAGCAGCCGTGGCGCAGTGATAGTGCTTGCCTCAGAAACAAAGGATCCGTGGTTCAAACTCCATCTCTGGGAAAGTTTTGCGACATCGGTTAGGAAGGAGGCGTGAGTTTCCAATTAAATGCTTATCCGCGGTGCTCTGTGATAAGATTGTACGGACTTTGGGGCACATAAACTAAATTAATATTTGGGCATGAAAAATTTAGAACTTTTAGTTCTAAATTTTTCATCAGTGGCCTAGCTACCGCAAGGCCAGTATAAACAAAACTTACAGTCCCATAAGCAACTGAACCTAGAGCCGGAAAGTTTAGGAGCTTTAAAATATTTTTAAAGAATTTTTTTTGTTTTTTTTTTAGAAAAGTTATTGTTCCAGAGACACAGAAATTGGGCACATTGGCCACGTATGTCTAATGACAGAATATGCTTTGCCGCGCCACTGTGTAATATACCTATAACCCAAGCTGTGGCTAATTATTATTTATACGTAGAATAAGAAATAAACCTTGTGGTGACTGGAGCCTACCCCAAATGTGAGGGCAACAAAGTAGTAATTTTTATTTTTTATGTTCTTACAATAAAGTTGACAGGTTTTAAAATTCAGAGGTGATGATTATATAAAGTTTACACCCAAACCGAATAAGGTGGTTGTTTCAACATTTTCCAAAATATTTTAATGTGATATAAACAAGAACACACTTATGTATGTTTTATTTACCAAAAGTATATTTATTAACCAAAATCATTGGTTTTTTATAATTATATTAATATAACATCTCAGATTTTACGCAAGTAGACATCATTATATTATTGATTACCATAAAGTCAGGGTTAAAAAATGAGTTTTTTTAAAAACTGTTATTTAGGTGCCCCAACAAAACCTAACGGTCTTGCCACAGAACACCGCGGAAGTCTATTTAACCAGGAAGTTCACGCCTCCTTCCTTACCGTGACGTAAAAATATGTCCAAGGCTCGTTTAGAACCTGGATCTCCTGCTTATAAAGCAAGCGCTCTAACCACTGCACCACGTGCGGCCGTGGCGAGTTGTTATTAAAAGCTCATTAAAAGACCTCATTTGTACGTAACTATTAATAATACTTTTTTAAACCATTTTATTTATATGTTAAAAAAACAAAAATTTTATATATATGTTAAAAAAATAAAGTATTGTTTTTATATGTTTAAAAAATAAAATATTTCTTCTGTTTTAGTATGTTATTTTAGAAAAAGGTTTTTTTTTTTTCTCGAATAAGAGACTAAAACAGGAGAATTAGGTATTTCAGCTACATATATATTCATTTTTTAGAAAAAATTACAAAACTTTAATTGTCAACTAAAATAAACTTATTAAACTCAAACTTCAGAAAAACACATGATCATTGATCATGTATTTTTCTGTTTAAGTTTAATAAGTTTAATGACAAGTTTTTAATGACTTAATAATTTTTAATGACAAGTTTTTAATGACTTTATTAAGTACGGATATTTAGGGGCTTGGCAATAAGACTATTTTTATCTTCTTCTCGCCCCCGCCATTCATATATTTTACAAAAGAAAAGTAATAATTTGTAGCGGCAAATTTATAAAAATTAAAAATCAACCACTGCATTAAAGAATGTCTTTATGTAATAAAAAAAAATCAATGACGAAATTAAATTTGAAAAAAAAATTAATTTGATAATTATCAAACTAATAATAATAATATGAATAATTTGAATAATTATTAATAATAAGAATAATTAATAATAAGAATAATTTGAATAATTAAGAATATTTTTTGAAAAATAAAAATGATCTTAAGAATAACGAAAAAAAGTTAATTTAAGTGACTACCCAGCCGACAAATAACGTTGAAATAACGTTGAAATACACTTTTTCATCATTAAAACGTGCTATTTATGTCAAAATGTATATATGTATGTAAACGTGCTATGTGCGTCATAAGGTTTCTTTTGGTCCATTGAATACAATAGAAGAAGCTGTAAATAAAAAAAATATATACAAAAAATCAAAAAGGGAAGATTTAAAAAATATATAATGAATGGAAAAGTGTTACAACTTATGAAGGTATATCTTTTTCAACGCCATATAGATTAGTGTTCTTAAAACATATATATATAATATAAAACATATATATATATAATATAAAACATATATATATAATATAAAACATATATATATATAATATAAAACATATATATATATATATATATATATATATATATATATATATATATATATAAAACATATATATATATATATATATTTTCTACCTTTGCCCTTCATATCCGTGGAGGCCATATAACTTTTAGAAAATACTCTGAATTTTAAAAAAATAATATAACTGTTAGTTGGTATTAATTACTTTTTTAAATATTTAATTTAAATAAAACAACCTTTTTTCAAAATAAATTAATAATCAAAATATAAAATATTTCTAGCATTGAAAAATAATTTTCGGGGTAGCCACATAAAATTTTTATAAGAAATTTTATGTGGCCATTTATTAATGGTTTAACGTCCATGTTTATACACTTATGGGCCTTGGACAGGGATCAAATAATGTCATTTTTTATGTTAAATAGCATGCATTTGCTAAAGCAATTTTTTACAATTCCATGCACTTTTAGGCGTTAACTAGTTTTGCAGACCGAGAATGGGTATTTTGAACATTATACTTCCATCAAAAATTAATTAGAGGATCATAGAGGTTTTAGAAGAGGTTTAAAAAAAAAAGGACTTTAGAGGAATTTAGAGGAGCTGTGGACACCCTGATTATAAATGAGGTAAGAGTCCAATACTGTTTTTGATTACCTCAGCATAATTTTGTGTATTCTATCTTTAGAAGACGTTCCACCAATCATCTGTAATTGATTTATCTGTAAAAAACATAAAGTAAATCTAATATTATGCTTGTGGAGATATATTATATTGTGGAGAACCATCCAAACCACACAAGTGGAAAATTTGCATCCAAGTTTCCAATTGTGTGCAAATCTTGCATCCACTTGTCAACATTCTCATTATCACATTTTTCTTTTGTAGTTGTGAATTTAAAACTTTCACAATACTGTTTGCTTTCTTTTGGAATTGAAATAATTATACAAAAAGCTATATATTTTGTATCAACAAAATAACTCTTCTTACCACATTATTTAAAAAATAATAATTGTAATATATAGATGTCATACCTGAAGAGAATTTAGTTTTTATTTGTATAAACTTAAGCCAATTCTTCTTTGCATTTTAGTGCAGTCAATTCTTTGGTACCTGGAAGCTGACAAACAGTTTTATCACTAATCCAATTAGATGGAATTACTTCTTCTTGTAGATCTTCATTCAAAACAGCTCCTTTCCACATAATAAAATAAAGAAACCATAATATAAGTGTACTAACAGGCCTAATTAAACTAACTAAATTTAAACATTTTATAACCATGATACTTACTAAACAATAATATTAGTAGACATTATTAGCAAAGATAAGATTTTTTTTATTTTATAAATTTATTATATTTTAAATTTATTTTTATTAATTAATTTATTACTCTATTATTCAGCAGAGTTCTGAATATATTATGTTAAATAACTTAAGGCTCAATACCAAATAAAAATAATGAAAGAATCCTAGGTTGCTAAAACATAAACATCTACATAAGATAATAACAAAAATTAAAAAAGAAAATATTTTAATAAATAAGAAATTATCATTCAAACAATTTTAGAGACCAAAAAATAACTTGTAACTTATTTTTTACTCATCTTCATCTTATAAATATTAACTTAATTTTTACTCATCTTCATCTAATAAACATTAATATTAATACCAATTTTAAACATTATTAGAATTTATTTTTTATTAAAAAATAAAAATATTACATCAGTTACTTTTTGGGCTTTTCTTATTTTACTTACAATGTCAACTCAATCCTAGGCTTTTTTCATAATTGAGTTTTAATTTGTAATGTTGAATTAACATTGAAAAAAAATATATTAGCAGACAAAAAGAAAATATTTCTTTATTGAAATATATGTAAATATTTCAATAAAGAAATTTTAGATTGCTTTTTATAAATATAAATTTATATCAATCAATCTAATTTTTTTTCTTTTCCGCCACCTTTTGGAAATGGAGCGCATTTTAAGAAGTTAGACAAAATGCCATCAACAAGTTTCAGTCGCTCCATCGTATTTAATAGAAGAAGCTGTTAATAAAAAAGAATTAGAAAAAAAAACAAAAAATACAAGGAGAAATTTTTGAATATATAAAAAATGAGAATAAAAAAGTTTTACATATCTTATAAAGGTATACCTTTTACTACATCATATAAATTAGTGCTCTTAAAGCATATTTCCACCTTTCCCCTTCATATTTGGTATGCGGTAGTGGTGTAGTGGTAGAGTGCTTGCTTGATAAACGAGTGGTTCCAAGTTCGATCCCCACCACGTCCCTGGTAGTACCGCGCTCAACTCATTTCTCCGCGCAGCGGCCTTGTTCATCAAGGTTCGTGTTTCGGAGTTATAGAGTTGTGAGAGGGCTATAACCACAAATAAGTAGCCTCTTCGTCTGTAGTAGCCTTCTCGGCCTTGAGGAGGTGAATTAAATAAAAAAAATATATATATTCATGGAGGTCACAAAATTGTTGGAGTTTTAATAGATAAGAGAACTGATAATTATGCGAGAACTAAAATCAATTTTTTTTTTTTAATTTAAATTAAACTCATTATCAAACAATTTTTTTGCTAAATAATTTAATCCTTAAAACTCCTGAATAATTAAAAATTATTTAGATTACCTCAGCATTATTTTGTGAATTCTGTCTTTTAAAGATATTCCATCAATTGCAATTGATTCACCTAAAAAAAAAACATGTAAAGCTAATATTATTGTTTGAAATTTTAATTATCCTTATACAAATACTCATCATATTTTTTAAGTGACTGATAAAAATGGATTTAATTAAAATCACTTCATTTGTATTAAAAAATTAATATTAAAGCCTTAACCATACATTATACAAGAGTATTTTGTAATACAATCTAAATAGTTGTTGCGATTTGTAATTTCTTTATCCGAAATTTAGCTTCTGTAAGCTTTAGAAATTTTTTAAAGAAATTATTGATGAATTTGGAGCTACGGGTACTAATGATTTTAAATTGTTGTAATATTTGTATTGTATCCCTGTTAGTTTCTGTAAGTCAAAATTTTTTAGGTGTTTCCATAATAAACTCTGTTATATCTGAAATTTAGTGTAAGTCTGAATAATTTAATTTTTAAAATCTGTTTTGCATTGCCTGTCTTATAACATCTTTACTAGGAACAAATACCATGTGCTTTAAAAGTGAGCTAGAAGCTTTCAACCATGAAGAAAATATTGCATTCACTAATCCTAAAAATATATTAAACCTGTCAGCAAGATCAGCTGTCAGTAATCCAAGTATTAGCATCATTAAAAATTCATCTTTGCTGCATTACATTTATTTTGGTCCAAGTAGTTAAGGATTTTTTTAAATTTCAAAAAACAGAAGTAGATGTTTTTTAGTACCACTTTATCTTCTTTTGATTAATGTTGATACTGCACTAATTGATGAAACAGATTGACAGATGTAAAGAACAACAACAATAACAATATATTTCGTGTTACAGATGTTACAAAAACACAGGTCATTGCAAATAGTGATTCACTAATAAAGTGCAATGACCTAAATAAGAGAAAAAATAATAATAACAATAATAATAATAACAATATGTAATAAGTGTTTTTTTATGTTTGTTTATTAATTATAATTAAATATATATAAATATTAAATTATATAAATATAATATTAAATATAAATATATAAATATAATATTAAATATAAATATTAAATTATAATTTATGTTTGTTTGTGCTGCAGAGTGTGCTCTTCATAGCCTTTGCCTAAGAAGAGCACACTCTGCTGCCTTGCAGAGTGTGCTCTTCTTTAACAGGGTCTCATTCTCATACGTATATAAAAAAAACCTCATTCCGGAATGAGGAAAAAAAGTTCACGGGTCTCATACTTTCTCATACTTCACAAAGGTCTCATACGTATACAAAAAAAACCTCAGAAATGAGGAAAAAAAATTCCAAGGGTCTCATTCACTTCATTCACACATGCATGCATCTTGTATCTGTTGTTTTATCCGTTCCAGAACGAATATCCTCCATCCTGATTATCGAATCCAGACACGAACAAACGATCGGGCACCTCAAATTGTCGACACGATTTAGACCTGAAATATTTAGGAAAAGTTGTTTAATTGTTATGTAACTAACTAAAGATGCAAACGTTTAAACGCAATATTACTTTTTTTAAATGTTCAATTACTGTAATACTGTAATATTGACTACTAACGTAATTGGAAAATAGAACGTTGTGCGTTACCTCAACCAATTAAAGTCTGGATGAGAGGAGAGACGTTTCCGGGTCCAATCGAGCGGGTCCAATCGAACGGGTCCAATCGAACGCGTTAAATGATGATCTGAAACCGAATTTTAAAAGTATTAAGTTTTAGAATATTGGTTCAGAGATACGCGGGACTCATGTAAACAGTGTCTATTCACAAAATGTCTTTAGTATTAATAACTGGTAGTATTTACCTCTTATTTTTTTTGATTTTTCATTAGAAGAAGGAGGTAAAAGTGAGCAACAGTGAAGTGAAGATCCGGATTAGCCTGCAACAAAATAATGTAAAATTCTACCAATCTGATTGATGATTAGCATTATAACACGAACAAAGAATCAAAGAAAAACCATCAAGTAATACTAAATTGCAACTAATAAGTATGATGATTATAATTAAACCAATAAGTTTGATGAATAACATTATAAGATCGTGAATATTATATCAATCTTTGAAAATTTCTATCAAATTATGTTAAAAATTACCGGTTAAAAGGTTGTAGAGCGTGCGTACTGCGGCTTTACGTAGTTATTGTACGTTTTAATTAACATCTTACAATCTTTTTTGGGTTTTTTGCTTTTTATAATATTTTTGGATTTTGTATTTTTAAATTTTTTTGGATTTTGTATTTTAAATTGTTTTTGAATTTTGTATTTTTAAATTTTTTTGGTTTTTGTGTTTTTTGAATAGAATGGAAAGAAATAAACAAAAGGAAAATGATTGAAAAAGAAGCGAATGAAAAGAAGAAATAAAATAAATTTTATTGAAAATAGAATTTGCGGGGGCGAAATCTGCGGCATCAGGTAAATCTGCGGCAAGTAAATCTGCGGCAAGATGTTCCCTAAGCGGGCTGGTGTACTTGGGACGGGCCCTACTACCGTCATAAACAAGTTTAATCAGGTTATAGGCGTCCACAAGACACCTGCCCACAGAATTTGCCAAAAGTAAAGTCCAATTAGAGGGTTTGAGTTTCCCAATGTGTTCACGAATTTGCGGGTCCAAAATTTTTGAAAAATGATAGTGACCATAAGTTGACAAAATGTCTTGTTGAATTGCGGGAGGAAGATTTGAAGCTGACCGCCATGTTGCAGTGCGGGGAGGTAACGGCAAAGCCTTACCCTTTTTCCCTTTCCTCTCTTTCCCTTTCCCAGCCTTTCTAGGATTCAAAATTGAATCTCTAGAAGTATTCGAAGCGTCCGATTCCTCGTCAGAAGAGGTAGACGAGTTGGACGGGGTAGTTTTGCGGTGCTTTTTGCTTTTGCTTTTGCTTTTGCTTTTGATTTTTCAATTGTTTCGCAGTGGAAGCTATTAAAGTTCCACCACTTGTTTGGAACACGCTGGGTCGTTATAGTTTTGAGGGAAGATAGAAATAATTTACGTAATGCTAGAGAGTGCTAGAGTTATTATAATATTAGGACAGATGTCCAGTATAAAGAGGTGAGGTTCAGAGTAGGATATTGTCCAGTGTCCAATTCAGTGTAAGGTGCCTGTTGTAATAATGTCCTGTCAGTTCCTTTTTAGTTAGACTCAGCTTAGTGATGTTTTATTTAGTTTAGTTTAGTGATGTTTTATTTAGTTTAGTGATGTTATCCGAGTTGTGGTAGTTAGTGTAATTTTCGATAATACATTTTAACTGTTTCAGTAGAAAAATATTTGGTTTTCCTACTTTTAGTTTTATTAATTAAATTAATTTTTGATTAAATGAATACCGTTTTAGTGGAGATATTCGTTTGCCTCCAATTTTAGTATGTAAATAGCCCGTTTTAGTAAAAAACTACGTTTGTACCTAACTTTAGTTCATAATTAATACCGTTTATATGGAAATATTCGTTTTTTCCAATTTTTTGTTTAAAATTATTCCCGTTTTAGTGGAAATATTCTATTCCCCCAACATTTATTTGGTTTTAGTAGAAAGATGCGTATTCCCCTAGTTATAGTTTATAATTAATACCGTTTTAGTAGAAATATTCATTACCCCCTAATTTTAGCTTATAAATAATACCGTTTTAGTGGAAATATTCGTTTTCCTCCCATTTATAGATAAAATTAATACCGTTTTAGTGGAGATATTCGTTTGCCCCCAATTTTAGTTGTAGATAGCCCGTTTTAGTAAAAATATACGTTTGTTCCTAATTTCAGTTCACAATTAATACCGTTTATATCGAAATATTCGTTTTTTCCAATTTTTTGTTTATTATTATTACCGTTTTAGTGGAAATATTCTATTCCCCTTTTTTTGGGTTTTTGGTTTGGTTTTAGTAGAAAGATGCGTATTCCCCTAATTATAGTTTATAATTACCGTTTTAGTAGAAATATCTGTCCCCCCCGTCTAGAACTTACATATACCTTGTTTCTATGATTTAGTGTTATCGTTTTATACATAAATAATTTAAATTGTTATTATTTTTATTAGTACCGACATTATGGTAGCTGATTACGTCATAATAACTTAGGGAGCTGTGAGAGCTTCAGTCCAACCTTCGACTGATTTAGGGTGAACACGTAAGGGAGTATCTCCCTGATCTAAGGGTTTGGGTTATGGCTGCGATAGTATTTTATAATATATACAACTCTAGGTTTGCCTGGAATAATAGAGATGTTATCGAAAATAAAATATAGACTAATAATGGTAATGTAATAACAAATAATATCATAACACAGTTAGTATAATAACCTATTATATATAATAAACAACCATTCCTAGACAATAAAGTGACGATTTATAAGTAAATATATTGAGAACAAGTTCGCGCGAATTTACTTAAAGAACAGATAATAAAAGCATATCAGTGTTGAATAAATTCGTAAATTCGTAAATTATGTAGTTGGGTATTTTACATTGGGTAAACAAAGGGTACGATTCGTTCTATATGGTTCTCTGAGCTGCCGCCGAGCACGGCTAAATTCTGAACTGCGTATTAGTTATTTAATTTGTACTCATTCGACTGCATCTTCTGATGCGGTTCAGCTACTTCAGTCCCTGTGTAAGATGCTAGTAAGGAGGATCAATCACCAATAGGTAAACGAATCGTATTTTTATTGGGTAAACCGAGGATACGATTTGTTCTAATTGGTTCTCTGAGCTGCCATCGAGCTCCGCTGAATTTTTAACTGCACATTAGCAGTCGATTGAGTCATTACTCATTCTACTGTGTCCTTTTCATGCTGTTCTGCCAGTTTATTCCTTGTGTAGGGCTTCAGCAATTGGAACTTCTTCCCAGTAGGTAAATGAACCGTATTTGCTTCGGGTTACCCGACTGTACGGTTCGTTCTAATTGGTTCTTCTGGCTGCTGTCCAACATGGCGGAATCTTAAACTGCATTGTAGTGATCAATCCAGCTATTACTCATTCGACTGCATCTTTTGATGCGGTTCAGCTACTCTAGTCCCTGTGTAAGGTGCTAGCAATGAGGACCGATCACCGATTGGTAAATCGGTCAGCTGTCTTCTCTAATGCTGCTCGGTGAGTTTAACCTTTGGGTAAAACCATAATAGTAAGAGCTACTGTGTGTATGTATGAAAGTATGTATGTGTTTGTATGTATCTGGGTGGGTTCATACATTTATGTGTGTCTATCGATGTATATATGTATGGCTGTATCTATGTGTGTATATGTTTGTGTGCATATGTACATGTGTGTCTTTCTCCGTAGAACCCTCAAACAGCTGACACGACACCGACCAACAATAAAGAGGACATTATCCCTACACCATGCCCCAATATTAAAATAAACGACAGGACACCGAGCAACGAGGGAAGTAAAGAGGGATTTGTCTCCACACTATGCCCCGAAAGAAAAACTAGGGGGACAAGAAAAAGGCGCGGAAGTAACTTTCGCAGGGCTGCAAAGCAGCAACGAGAAAATAGGCTGTCGATTGCCGCCTTCTTGAAAGACGAAGGGTCAGCATCGGGAATTGATGTTCTGTAAAATTAGGTTTTGAAATATAATAATGCTCCAAGAATCTGTTTTTTAATGAATATTTTTTACTCGTTTCTTTAAATTTGTCTCTTCCAAACTCAGAACAACAATCATAAAACACCTGACAATTTTGTCAACCAATCGGCTTGCATTTAAGAATCACATAAAAATCTTCTTAAATTTTACTCAAAACGCATATTTTCTATTGTTTCCACTTTTCACCATTTTACCGCAACTTACGTCATACATGTGATGCACTTTAGTTTTTTAATTTGCACATGTTATGAATTCTCTTTTCTCGTTTAACAAAGCTATGGTAAGGTTAACTTTATCTTCTTTTGATTTATTATTACTTATTTTAATGAATAACAGCTCATAATTTTCGTATTTTATATTTTTTGTTTTGAAACTATTACTTAGCCATGTACTTAGCCTTATACTAGGACTCAATTATACATGTTTGGCTTTGACTTAGTATTATCTACCTATTTACATAACATAAATTCTTGTAAGTACAATGACTTCATACTATTATGTTCGAGTACAGAGTAGGTTATTAGGTTTTATATATATATATTTTTTTCCCCTTAAGGGTACATGTGTCGCGTTGTATTTGTATGGGTCATCTCAGATTTTAGCTTTTGTCTAATTAATTCCCAACTCTTTTGAAGTCTGTGGTTGAACGTTGAAAATAGTCTACCACAATTTGTACTTAAAAAAAAATTAGTTATCAACAATGAAATAGCAACCATTTTCGTGACGGCTTTTGATGTCTGTGGTTGAACGTCTGCATTCGAATTGAGGCTGGACGACACCGTTGAGGAGGTCGAAGCTCAGGCACCTGTTGCAATGGAGGTTGAGGAGGTGGAGGCTGCGATGCCAATGGAGGTCGAGCCTCGACAAGCACCAGAGGCTCAAGTGCAAGAACCAGTGGTTGGGCCAGCTCGCTTTCATAATGTTGTTGAAGTCCGGAACTACACCAGATATGAAATGGAAGGCTCTCCAACTATCTGGTTCGACGAGTTCCAAAAAGCATATGTGCTGTCGAAGGATGGCACAGACGCTCGACCAACGACTTATCTAAAGTGCCATCGCTACACGGTGAAAAGAGGTAATTTTTAATTGTTTAATAGGATACTTTTTTTAACTCGTGAAAATATTCACGATCTTAGAATTATTATCATTACCATTATCATGATTGTATCTTAACATTTAACGGGATCCCCATTTAACCCTGTTAGGTTCATGTGGTGGTCCTGCAAGGATTAAGGACGATACCCTGTACCTGGGGAAGGATCACTCATGTGGCGACATGAGTGATAAGTACCTTATTTTGCAGGCCAAGGCACGGATGAAATTTCGAGTTGGTAATATTTGTTTTTGAATTTTTTATTAAGCCATATTTCGACTGAAAACATATGTCTGCCGATGTGAATAATCGAATTTTAACATTTTTAACTTAATTAAAATCTTTAATTAAAAATTCATTTTATTCTAGGGCAAACTACCGAACCGCTGAGGGACATTTGGAACTCTGTCCTTAGCCAGTCGACTGAGGCCGTGAAGAAAAACCTCAAGTTCGAGGCTGCCGAGTCCATCATGAGGAATATGCGGAGAAAGAACCTGCCTCCGATTCCCAAGAATCTGGCAGAAATGAAGGAAGCTCTCGACAATGGACATCCGTTCAAAGACATCTACCAAGGTTTCGTCGAATTCGAAGATGGGAAGGTCGGATTCATTTTTGCAGACCCAAAACTTCTCGATCTCGTTGAAAGTGAGTACACTGCTTTAATTTGCGAGTTGTTTTGATACTATGTTCTATCAAATTTATCATTTTGGGTAATTTTAAATTGTTTTTAAGGGGTTAAATACAGCAACTTTTTTATCTTTGTACAATTACTTTTAAGCAAATTTATAATTTTGGGTATTTGTTTCAGAGACTCAAGAACTCTTCGTCGATGCCACCTTTAAAACACGGCCTCACCACGATATCTTTTCTCAACTGTTGAACATCATTGTCATCTACAAAGATTACTATGTCGCAGTGATGCATGTCTTAATGACATGCAAGGAGCAAGCACTCTACGGCCAGATCATGGAGCGGTTCAAAGCTTTGGTTGGATCGGACTTCAAGCCAAAAAGTGTGATGTCGGACTACGAACGGGCGATCCTGAACACCATGCAAACTGCCTTTCCGGAATCGAGAGTGTCTGGATGCAGATTTCACTTCAGCCAAGCAGGTAAATAATATTTTAACCATTTAATTGATTTTTAACACGTTATTTATCTTTGTTATTTACTTCTTTTTAGTTCTCCGGAAAGTGTGTGCTCGCAACAAGGAGGATTTCTATAAAAATGTTGAGTTTAGGAATCTGATGCTCAAACACATGGCCCTAAGCACTCTACCGGCGAACCAAATGGTACCGGTATTCCAACAGCTGAAGCAAGAAGTGCTCCACTTACAACCACTCAGGCTCCGGAAGCAAGTCCAGATAATGCACAGGAATTACTTCTTAAAGTGGTGGTTCCAAGGCATCGGGCCCCAGCTGATCTCTACGTACGGTCTTGCACATAAGACCAACAACGTCTGCGAAAGTCTCCATAAGAAGTGAGTTATTTCTTAACAATATTTTTGAGTTAACAATGTGAAAATATTCACGATCTGGTTATTTTTGTTGTTCATTATTTATAACTTTTCCCAAATTTTTCAGAATGTCTTTAAAGCTGGCAAAGGCGTCGACAATCTAGAGATTCCTCTCAGATCTGAGGATGTTCGTCATCGAGCCAGCAAAGATCGATGTTCTACAGTTGGACAATAACATCAGGATTCGGAGGAACATCAAATTATCGAACCAGGTAGCGGCCAGAACTGTGAAGAATCAGGAGGAGCGACTGGCCAATGGGGAAATCACCCCCATTCAACACCTCCATTTTATGGCCCACAGAGTGCCCACTCCGGTTCTTCCGAATGACCCAGATCAGGATAAGGCCGATGCAGAGCTGGCAGCAGAAATGGCCGCCGATGGCTACGCCGATGATGAGGATGGCGACGACGAAGTCTTTGACGAGTAAGTATACCAAGTATAATTTCAATCATTTTCTAGTAATTTCTATTTATAATACGATGTTGATTAATTTCATATGAAACTTATCTTTAAAATGTGTTCATTAATAACTTATCTTTAAAATGTGTTCAATACTTTCAGACACGGAGATGATGACGCATTCCTGGCAGCCGCAGGGCCACAGGCAGATGGACAACAGCAACCGGGTCACGCCGCCGCAGGTCCCGCCGCCGCAGGTCCAGCAGCAGAATGGTGTTGCATTTGCATGGCGAGCCCAAAGGACACAATACTACTGCCGTGCGGGCATGTCTGCGTGTGTTCAACATGTGCAGCCCTTCTCGAAGCCCAAGGACTTGACGATGAACCCGAGGGCGTCTATTTGTGCCCCGTATGGGTTACTTCGCGACATCGGCTGTTCTACGCCTGAAAAAATTGACTGGAAATGGCTTTCTATTTCCTATTATTTTTACATCTACTTTCATTTTTCATGTATTTTTCTTATAAATTGACTAAATAAACAGATTGTACCTTTGATAACACTTTTATGATTTCCCGAGTTTTGTACATTTTGTACCGCGGGTGAAGAAGAAACTTTTGTAGGCTAACCCCTTGGGGGTCTCTGTAAAATACTTCATTTTTTGGAACCTTTTTGGGGTTCCTGTCTAGTGGTTATAGTACTCGCTTCTCACCCGGACGACCGGGGTTCGAGTCCTGACAGGGATTCGAAATTTAGGTTTTGTTTTTTGTTTAAAAAAACATTCATAAAGAGAGAGAGAGAGAGAGAAATGCCTTAAGGGACTAAGGGAATTAATGGGTCAGGATAAACTGGTCAGCTGATTTGTACAAACTCCCCCCAGCAAAAAATAGGCCGTTTCACAAGCGGTTGATCTGTTTTTGTTATTTTTCAAAACACTGTGCTCAATCTGGGGGGAGTTATTCGTAACTCATATTTACTTTGGACAACTGATAAGATGCTAACGCTAAATGTACGCTAGTTTATCCGCGTTATTCAGATGAACAGTTAACTATTTGTAGTTGAAGCTAAATTTTTTAACCATGAACATCTTTGGTCTTTGGCCTTTGGCATTTGGTCTTTGGCCAGTCATAAATACTACAGAAACAACAAGCATTGCACCGGACCCACTATTTAAAGACCTCCTGATTCAGGACAGGCTTGAAGTTGAAAAAGGACTGAACAACTTCACTACAGCTAACAGGCTTGAGATGGGACCCCTTGAGATCTGGCTTCAAGTCGACAGAGTACTGAAGAAGATTAAAAGGAAATTATACTTCAAAAGACGTATAGTTGCCAGAAAAATTAGACAAAACCGAAGAAACAAATCAGAACTTCACAAATGGCTTCTATTAGAAAGAGGATTGAAGGACACCGCCAATAAGATAGTCGACAAAAGACGTATTGTCTCAAGAAAAGTCAGACAAATGCAAGCCGGAAGAAAATAAGTTGTTCGTAAGCATAATAAGTACAACAAATGATTCATAACCATGTTTCTTTTATTTGTCTTTTATCATTGTGATAAAACCATTCATAAATTTTGCGATCTCAAGCTGGCATCGGCAGCAGAGTACCGGCCCCATGATTGAAAGGTCCTGGGTTCGAATCCGATGCCAGGTCAAGATTGTTTTTATTTTTTTTGAGTAATAAGAAGAATCCATATTTTGAGATTGTGAGAATATTCACGATCTTAAACCTTGTTCTTTTTTTGTAAGATGGCGTTGGAATTACTAAACCATTTTTAATTAAATAAAAACTATTTAATTAACTATGGCCCCACTGTCAACATAACTTTTAGCAAATTATCCATTGTCCATACTATTAGTTACGAAGACCCTGCCTGTACTTTAAAGTAGTAATGTATAAAATGCATTCAAAATAGTAAAAAAATCATTGGTTTAGTATTATACGTTATAGACGGTTAATGTGATTGTCATAGTTTAAAGTATCTTCCTTAATGGCGAATAGAACCTAATGGTTATTTGCTTATTTTTAATGGTCTCGACATTTGCCGGGACCTGTGCCATCAACCTTTGTCATTTTTATGATCTATCTCCAGAGGGCGCTATCTATGGACTTGTCCATGATCTTCAAGATCAACAGATGGCGCACATCGCAACTAATGAGATAGACCAAGTATTTATGTTTTCTTTGATAATCTACTGAATTTAAACTTGAATTAAATCAAATGAACTGACCATTAGTAATATTACGACAACGAAAAGTAACTTGCATCCAGGTAACAACAAAATGAAAGGCAAAAACAAACTGTAGCCAATCGATGGATGGATGCGTTATTGATGGCCTGGATAAAACTTTCAGACAACTTTGCCTCCGGGCCCTTACAAAGGTCCGTACCCAATGATGAACTGATGCGTTCGCGATAGGTTCAGACATTACCATTTTTTAGGGCTATTGAGGCGACGGCCCATTCATTTTATAAACCGTATTACCGTAATACTATGTATGGTAATTCATATTCATATTCATAGTAAAACTACTCCGGATTGTGAGAATATTCACGATCCTAAACCTTTGTAAATAAATAAGAAGTGATTGACGGTTAAAACAAATGTTTTTATTTCAAAAAAAACCCTGACATTTTGACTCAAAATACGTACAGGCTAGTGGTTATAGTTGAAATTCGATGGTTTGGATGGTTTAATTAATTTTTCGACCGGTTTAATTAAATTCGACTCTTTTGATGACGCTGCCAAATTTTTATAGCCGTCGACTGGTTTATGTGGCAGCCACAGAGAATAGCCGAATTTTAATTTCGACTGGTTAACGGATTTGGACAATGTATTTTTGTCTTTCTACTTAAAATAGTGGCATACCCGTATAATAGCCGAAAACATTTTCGACTGTTTGTATTCTTTGCCAATACGTATTTCGATGATTTAACAAGTCCACCAATTCTTCAGAAAAAATTCGACTCAAATCAGGTATTTGTCATTCGTTTATTTAACAGATAGTGGCAGAATTCGACTAAAACACAGAAATTGACAAAATTTAGGGTATCGACTATTTTTTGGACTGTACAAAATTCGTGTATTAAACAGATTATGACAAAATTTAGAAGAGTTTTACTATTATTAGTGGCAACCAGTGAATAATAGAAGACATGTTATTTTTTACAGTTAAAATGACTTTCGACTGGAATCGGAAAGTGTTTCTTCTATTTTCGGGTTTTGGGATCGACTAATCGTCGGAATTGGTCTTTCGGTTATTCGACGAGCTCTCGGTGATCCCGGGCACATAGTGGGTACAGAGAGGGTGTTTAAGTATTCACACAACAAATTTAATTTTTATAAATTAGTTATCAATAATGTTATCAAATCTAAAGAAAGCATCAATTGCCTCTGGGCAAAGATAAATGGGCGTACTTGAGGGTTAATATAAAGTGTGTGGCGAGAGGAAGGCGAGTTGAGGGGGAGGGGGGGTTCAAAATAATGTTTTTATATAAAACAAAGTAACAAATACTAAAAATTATAAACCGGTATCTAATAAAAGAAAAAAATAAATTTATCTAAAAAAGCTTTTATTATATAATAAAGCATTTCTTGATGCTTTTTGATGTTTTGTTTATTTTACAAAAATAGTTATAAAATAATCTCGAAGAAGTTTAAAAATATAAAAAAAACAAATTAAAAACCAAAATATTTAAACATATGCAAATAGCATATAATATGTCCAAATATAAATATAAAATATAAGCCACTATGAAAACAGCAATAAAAAAAAATCATCAATTCACTTTCAAGATAACATAAGGTCTCCGTATATTATATTGGCAGCAAGTTCGAATTTTGAAATGTCATAATCCACAGCATCATTATCATATGTTTCATTATCTTTCCAGTATGCTACAACATACACTTGCTTACCATTCTTTAACTTCATTTTTTTAAGTTTACCATAATAAACTTCTCCCTGCATTTGAGAATTAAACCATATATGGCAAATGTTTCTACCAACAACTGTATCTGATAGCATATCTGAGAGGTCTGATAATTGATTAGACTCTAGTTCTGGAAATGCTATTAAAATATCTGAAAAATTAAGGTTTTGAATTTGAAGAGATTGTTTTTTATTGCTCTTAACTTTGATGACAAAAAACGTAAAGTAGAGTTGGGAGCACGATGTTTAGCAGCACTGAACATGCCCATGATTTCCTCTGCATCAATATTATGAAGCCTAGCTGTTTGTGTCTCTTTTATGAGTTGTAATGATAGATTTAAATTAAAGTATTTTTTATACTGTCTTTCTAAAACATCAATAAGAGCTGATAAACAAAATATAATCATTTGTTTAACTTCTTTGTCTTTCGTGCACACCGAAACTATTGTTTTAAAAACCTTACCGTTTTTAATACTATTTCCAAACAAATCTTTTGCATTAAATAACAACATAGGGTTGTTTTTCACATGATAAACATTTTTTAACAACTTTTTTACTACTTTTATTCCTTCAATATGACTTAAACTTCCTGTACCTGACTGATAAAATAATGCCATCCAAGGTCCTGTTAAAGTCTTACCCAATAACCCTAAGACGCACATTTCTTTTTTGGCTTTTTCGTTAATAAAGTCTATTTTCAAACTACTTTTAAGCCCTCCACATGAAACTACATCGTTGCTTAAAAATTCAATTAAGGAATTATAGTGCTGTATAAATATACCACATATATGAAATAAAATATGCAATCCGTTTCCTCGGTAA